CTCGGGTCTCCAGTGTGAATCCTGCCTTCTCCCTCTCGCACCTCCGCGGTGATGAGCCCTAAGGGGGACCCTCCACGGCAAACAGGAAGAAAGCCGTGTTTTAATACTTGGCTTCACCTCTTTTACTGGAAGGATCCATTGTTCCTGAGTGGGCCCTGCTGCGAAGCTGGACTTAAGGCTCCTCATTCTGCGTGCACCTCTCAGAAGTCAGCCAGATCTTACATAATTCCAGGGACTTCATTTTCCGATTCAGATGTGCTTCCCCACATTTCCTTGTAATTTCTTTCTGGGGGCGGGTATGCACCATGAGTGGAGGGAAGGAAAGAGCGGAAGAGAGAGGGGGATTTATTGTGGGGGGGGACCAGAGGAGACACAGGCTTCCGTCAGGGTCCCCCACAAACCCCGGCTGCAGGGCCCCCGGGCGGGCGGACAGCAGGGACAGAGCCGGCGCCCGACGAGTCTCCCGTGGGGCCCAGAGAGACCACAGTTTGCCCCGTTTCTCATCCAGGCCACGGAGGTAACAGCGCTCACCGTGCACAGGGCGTCCCTCCCCCTCGCCCCCGGGAGTAAGTGACCCACGGAGCCCAGCATTGTAGCTCGTCCCTCACGACTGTTTGCGGCCACCACCATCTTGTTGTTATGGGGATACTTCGCCAGGGCGGCCGTGGATGGATGCTGACTTCTGGGGGGAACTTTCCACTTAGCACGTCGTCGCCGGGAAGGATGAATGGCTCTTCCCCTGGTTGGATGCGGTCCCAGGGGAAGCCTGGGCTGTGGGCGTGCGGCAGGCCCGGTGTGTCCGCAGTCCCCCGAGCTCCCGCCAGAGGGCGCGCTTGCATCTCCCGTCCTCCACTCCCCTGGCAGGAGGCGCTTGAGCCAGGGGGCCTGTGGGCTCGAACCATCATTTCTGCCCATTCAACTCTTTATTGGCCACACGGATGACCTCAGCAAAGCAAGTTTACTTGGCGGATGGAGGATTTCCGAGGGCATGGCTCCATGCTTCCGTGGTTCCCAGCCTGAGGTTGATGGGGGTAAGGGCGGGGGGAGAGGCAGGAAGGGGCTGTGCCTGGATGCCCAGCGCCTGCCGGCTGTCTCACTCAGGGAGCGCTGACCCTGGTGGGTGCCTTGTTAGAGCCCTGGCAGCCGTGAGAGATGGGCCGTCACCAGCTCCTGGAGGAGGAAGCGGGCTGCCCTCCACCCCCACCTGCTGCTCAGAGGGCTCAGCTGGGAGGCCCTGGGCCAGGCTCTTCCCCCACTCCTGCCGGCTCCGCTCTCAAATCTGCACCCTCCGGTGGCTGCACGCAGGGCCGATGGCTGGAGCCTCAGCGTTCTCCCCTGTGAGATGGGCTCACACATCCTGTGGGTGGAGTTCCCCTCGGGGATTGTGGGAAGGGGCCTCAGTCTACCCAGAATGGCCCTGCCCCCCTGGGCGTGGCCCTCCTCGTTTGGGGGGGGGGCAGGAGGACCTCCGCTGCTGGGGGAGGCGGTCAGCGGGCCATGTCACTTCTTGTTGCTTTGGTTTGTGCATCTGTGAAATGGAACCAACTGTGGGCTCAGTGACAGAGGAAGGCGAAAAGGGGCTGGGTGGTGGGGAGCCCCGCGTTTGGCAGGGCTCGCTGAGCCCCACGCTGCTGCACCCCCTTCCTTCCCTCCAGCCCCTCCTGTTCTCTCCCTTCCCTTCCTGTCATTTCAGGATGCCTCTGCTTTAGACAAACAGATGGTCTGTTTTGTCTTGTTTTGTTTGGCCTGTGCCACATGTAAAAATGTTTAATTAGACACCAATTAGATCCCACATTTTCAAAACTCCATATTCCCAGCTTCTCTTTTGAAATCAGGTTGCCTGCCCCCCCCACCCCCCGCCCCAGCCCCGGCCTCCGTCTGCCCACACCCTGCTCCCCTCACCTGCGGGGTCCCCTCGCCCCCGCGGACAGGCCAGGGTGGCTCCTGTGAGAGACCGAGTTGGGTGAGGGTGTTTGCGCTGCGAAGTGCTCTGTTACCCACACAGACTGCTGCTCATTCTTCGTCGTCACGCCGAGGCGCGGGGCCGGCTGAGCCCTAATCAAGTGCAATCAAAACACGGGCTGAAGCCAGAAGATTCCGGGGAGACCATCCGGAAGCCTGCGAGGGGCTAGCTCGGGGGCTCAGACACGGGGTGGAACGTCCCCACCGCAGGACATGCTGCCTGTGGGGGGCCCTCCTCAGGGTGCTGGTGACTCAGGGCACTGGCCA